GAAATGCATCCCCATGTATTCCTATGGTGTTTTAGGGCTGTAGTACCCACCAGTGAGGTCCGTTCCAGTGCTTTCAAAAAAACTACAGCAGGCACGATTTTTCTTTCTGGTCTGGAAGGCACCGGAACACGACAAAATATGTATAAACCCACATGAACGCACCGGAACGCAAATTAAAAAAAAAAAAAGCACTACTGGTCACCTTTGGTAACTTTGATCAACATTGGACACTTCCTTTATGGAAAAAGGGTATTTTCACCTGAACATTGGTGACCTTGGCTGTGTCCTGCAAACATGGTGGACACAGGTTTGTCACCTATGTACAAGAATGTCCTGAGCTTTATGACCCCAAACACCCTGGATTATCACACACCGTGCAAGGACAATGCCTGCATTCCATGGCTCCATGTTTGCTCAACTCCTGTGAGAAGTCACAGACACGAGAAAAGCCGAGAAGAAGCAGGAAATTACCTCAGAGACATAATCTTGAAAAAAAACACACACTTTAACGCATCAAAAACGCGTTAAATGCATGCAACTGCGTTTGCAAGAAAGCATCCAGGTCTGGTGATGGTGGAAACGCTAAACTCATCACAGGGGTTTATGACCTGCTGTTGGCTTCTGTCTGACCTGCTTCAAGCTGTTTTTGCATACCCATAGACCTTTTTATAGCGAGATAATTTGTTCGGATACTAGCAAAATCCAGTGGACACGGGGACCTTGTTCAGTTCCTCCTGTTACATTCTGCATTATAAAAAACCCATCAAGGACAGTGGGGCATCTCATGATATTTACAGTACAGGTAGAGATCCTGCAACTCCAGAGCAGACATCTCACCCATAGAGGCCCCAAGATAGAAGAAACAGGTCATTTAACTCTGTAGCATTCTTCCAAAAAACAAATACTTTTGGATGGACCCCTCTTTTCTGATTTCACTGCCCCCCACCTCCTGCATCGGGTCAACCTTGACTTGTTTCCTGATGTACCGTACTTTAATCTGCCGGGACAGACTACTGTATATAATATTGCTCTGCATATCCCACCTCGAGCGGTAGTCGTGTGAATCAGTTTTGATTTTGCATCGGTGTGTCCAGCTTCACGCTGTTTAATTATTGTCTAGTCAGGATTTGGATCAGGCAGGGGCATTGGATATATTTTATAAAAGGAGGAGCCCCATAACCTTGTACGGCTGTGGAGGTGTTATCATTAGACATTGACAAGGGGAGAAGCATCTATACGAGTGCTTTATAGTTTAATGGAACCCAAACGGATCGGAAGAATGGAGTGGTCCATATGATGACTTTGTAGAGAATATGGAAGGTTACTCACAAGAGTTAGAATCCCTCCAGATCTTGTTACATGTAGCGGGGTAACCTCTGGCCTCGTAAGTTCTATGATGATGGAGGGCGGCTTTCACCAGTATTTTCCAGGCATTTGCTGTGGGGATCCTTTGTAACACTTCAGTCTTCCTGGGATAACATAAAGTAGTCTTAGAAAGGTCTTTTGAGCATTTCTAAGATCCATATCGCTCTATCCCCCTAATAGACATCACTTTGAAATTTCTAATATTTGTAATCCAAAATTGCGTAATATAATTCCATAATCTGGGAGTAAAATGTGTAAAATATTCCATCAGCACTTCTGACATAAAGAGCTGTCTTTTTTATATTATTATATGGTGTATTATAATTGTACTTCACTTCCTACAATCCAAAAACATATTGGACCTTACTCCGAAGTGTCTTATATAAAAACTGTCTATCAGCCCAGGTACAACAATTGAATGTTTTGTTCTTGTTTCTATGAATGAGGCCTGAGATAAATGACTTCTCCTGTCATTGTCTCCGGTGTGTGTGTGTGTGTGTGTGTGTGTGTGTGTGTGTGTGTGTGTGTGTATATATAGTGCTGCGGAAGAGGGTAGATTGCTCATTCCTCTCGGTTGATGTGTCTAGCTTTAGGTCGATGCTTTATAAACATATCATCATATACGTCAATGCATTGCTGTGTAATGTATGACACTTCCTTAGATCTGACATGCAGCACCCAGCTCTTTGTGAGTCCAATTTCCTTTTTCTTTTCTGTCCCTGCTTTGTCCTGCGTGGCAGCTGGATGCAGTGATGTCAGCAGGAGGCCTGCGGAGACCCCCCTCTTTGTATACACTAGGCACAGGCGAGAATTAGGTTGAGTCACTATCGACCGATTTCTCATCTTGTGGGCTTTGAATGCCCTCCAGATTACTATATGGTAAAAAGCATTATGCCTTCTCCCCCATCTTGCTCATTAACTCTGCCATTACCAGGAAGGTTTGCCTTCAGCTTCAGACTAAATCACAGTGCAGGTTTCCTCCAGCCCTGCAATGGTTAAGATGCTGAGCCATCTGCCTGTGTTTTGCTCTTCATGCAAATAGCTCTATAATCCGCCCCCCATTCAAGGAGGAGCCGAAAACCCCAGGCCACGCTGCTATTGGAGGAAGCCAACTATACCTCTCCCTTCATCAATATGCTAATACTGGGTGGGAAGAATAGGCTTTTATGCTCTGCTGTACTATATGACCAGAGGATGAGGACAGCGTGGATGGACAAGAGAAGAAGCATCCTACAATTGAGGGATCCAGGAACACAGGTCGTATGTATGTGGCCAATTCTTTACTGTCCTATAATACATATGGGGTCGTTATTATGCACTCATTGCTGTTTATATGCAGCCTGGCTATAGGTAAATGTTGTTTTTGATTGTCCCATCAGGAATTGTAAGGCGTTCAGTTTTGTTTTTAACTGATGTACCATAAATCGGATGATGCATGCCGCTGTAGATTCCCATTGAGCAATATGTTTAAGGCAGCAAAGATGATGGAAATGACATCTATTTTCTGACTTGTGTGATTGTTGTTCAGAGGATGAAACAAGTGTTTAGAACCAGCAGCGGACAGTGATGTGCAATTTAGAAGCCAGCAGGCGTTTTGCTGGAGTCGCACAACATGGGTTTCCATCGGCAAGAATAAAATGGGCACCAAAAGTGAGGCACTTGCTGGAGATGATTTATTTAGGAGCATTGGCTTTCTGACTCCTGGGATTTGTCCAGACCCGTCCATTATCTGTTGTGCACAATTTGTCTTTGATTGTGTGATAATTGGGTTCTGGCTATGAGCACTCGTAGGCTGGCCATAAACACACAGATCTCTTATTTCTTAAGGGCCCATTCACACCACATCCAGATTACCTCTAGACCAGACTGTTTCCGGACCCAAAATGCATCCCAATGTGTCCCTATGATTTTTCTGGCCTCTGTTCCCAATTTTTTTAAAATTCCAATCGAGGCAAAAATGCAATGCACTATGTTCCAGATCTGGTCCAGAAAATGGTGTGAACCCAGCCTAAATGTAGCTTTTGACTTCCTCCTCAATGTTACTACATCATGTAATACATATGCCATTACTTTTTCCAGTGATTATTTTTTATGTGAGCCCATGCTTGTTGAAAGGATAGTTCATGTGCTGTAGAGCCATAACGATCACACAGAAGGAACAAAACTACTCTATATTGCTCTCAAAACCTTTTGCAGCAGTTTCCACTGTCTCTGTACTTGCTTAAGCCCCCATTTTCACACTAGCGGTTTTCGCGTGGAAAAGCGCTAAACATAAAAAAATCATGCTTTTCATGTGAGCTGTTCGCAGTAGGGCAGCGCCAGCGCGATACAAAAATGCGCGGCTGGCAAAAAAAGTCCTAGCGCAATTTTCTGTGGGGATTCCGCCTGTTTGCGGCTAATAAAAGCATGGAATACATGCGCATGTTACAGTTTTCGTGTCGCACGGTTTTGCTTGTGCAAAAAACGGTAGCGCTATGTGTGAATGGAGCCTAAAGCTGGCCATGCACTCTGCGATTATCGTCAGATTTTTTTTTTTTTGTGCCGTCATCGAGTCCTCATTCGATTTCGGCTCGAATACCTCCATCATGCACAGACCAATGTTGATTTCGATAATCATTCATTAGCAATACTAAAGCACCCAATTTTGTCGATCAACACAACGGATTTTCGTTTGCGCATGTGCAGTGTTCTTTCTTTTTTAGTTTCCTACGAAAACGCCACTAATCCATCAATTTTCGCACAGTTTGAAAAAAAGTGTTTCAGCCTGACCGAGGAAAATCGGCCAGAGTACAGTTAAAAAAAAAAATTATTGGGTTCCAATCAACTGATCAGTTATCGTACGAAAGAGCATTCGTGGACGATAATCGATAGGTGTGTGGGAACCTTTAAAGGAGAACTATGGGGTCAGGGGTTTTCCCCTAAATCCCCCCCTTTAGGGTAATGGGAGGACACAAACTAGCATCCTCCCGCGAGCTACAGCTCGCGGTATAATGAGACGCCGGAGCGGATCCCGACATCGATGTCGAGATCCGCCCAGCTGCGCGAGTGACAGCTGGCCCTGCCTATCTAGAGGCAGAGCCAGCTGTACCTGCCCCCTCCCCTTTACGTTCTGCCAGTCAGCACTGGCGGTGAGGGGGGAATCCATCCCCTCCCCTGTCACGGCAGAGAGCAGTGACAGGATCGAGAAGTGAGCGAACGCCAGTATATGTTCGCTCACCTCCCGATCTACTGAGCCGACCTGTGACAGTCTCATTGTCACAGGTCGGCTAGAACTATGAGGTGAGTGAAAAGCCCTCGCCTCATAGTTCTCCTTTAAGACAGATTGTTGTTTTGATGCTCCTTCTCACTTGCTAAAGCCAGATTGAGATTTTGACACTCCCCTTTTGCTTTCTCATAATTAATAATTTTCCCCTTTGTTGCAAACTGCAAGGGGAGATCAGTTTGGGAATGACTGACTTCAGATTTATGGGTGCTTTTATATGGGGATGCTGAGTAGTATGGATGTGATGCATTTGATATTTCTGGATGGAAATGTTCACGGTATTGCGATAGGTGGGTGTGTATGGCTCGCTATTCTGTATTAAATTGTCAGCGCGTTCTTTTCAGTGAAAGTTGTGGTTTTGTTTTATCTTGCAGGATCGTCTCTCTACCCCGTCTCCCAGGAATATTTAAACGAGGCAATACAAGAGAACACGCATCCCATCTGCGGTTTCGCTACCACCCTGGGCATCGAAAACTAGCAGCATCTGGTTATAGAAGCACCTGAAGGGGCCTGACATGCCGTTTACCTCCTGATGAGGATGGGCACTCAGGGCAGCCCTGTGAAGAGCTACGATTACCTCCTGAAATTCCTGCTGGTGGGGGACAGTGATGTTGGGAAAGGGGAAATCCTGGAGAGTCTGCAGGACGGCGCATCCGAATCTCCATACTCCTATAGTAACGGTGAGCAGCTGTTGTACTGAAAGCTATGTTATTGTCTTCTTCGTTGCAGGCACCTGGTAATCCCCATGGCACTGTTCAGTGTATGTCCCAGTTATTTGTCAGTCTGCCAAAAAAAGGAGTCCATCTGAACAAAGGATAGATTGGGCTATCTGAGGTGACTCGGGCTTGAATTTAGCTGTTTTTGGCTGTACATGCGTACAACCAAACTTGGGCAATTCCTTTGTTCAGTGCAGCTTGTCAGGCTTCTGCACCTTGAGCGGGACAAAGTAAAGGGTTTCACACTGAATACATGGGAATATCCTAACTGAATGATAGCTGAGCAGGTTATAAATGGTCAAATAAGGTCTTTGCTTCCCATACACATAATACATATCAGCAAAATAAATCTTATCTACTTTTCCTTTTCTTTGTTTAGATGGAGGCTTAAAAGGTAACCCTTGGCTGGTAGTTCTGACCCTGGCCAAATGTCCTCCAAATACTGGCACTTATTAGTGTTGTGAACCTTGGTACAGAGTATGAGTGGTATGCAATGGCCTCTATGTCAGAAGGAGCACTCAAACTGTGGCTGGTCATTACATATCATAAGGAGGATCTACCTGTTGGCAGAGCTTTTAAATCTGGACCTGAATACTGCTTTAAAAATATATGGTCCATTAGTTTTCAAGCTCTGACTTGCATGGCTCTGGATCGTGCACATTATTTTTTAGAGCCATATTTTTCATTTCTTTAGGAGATCCAGAATGCAGCACTCCTCTGTGACAGCATGTTGGTGCTTTACGCTGGAACATATGTAGAATTCTCTGGGTGGAATGGCAGGGGATCACATACAGTACATGTGGATTACAACATGCCCATCTGACAACCTAAAGAAGAATTTCCTTTAAAGCCAATAATATTGTTGGTGGTGGGTGGCTGTTCAGTAATCTTGAGTCTAAAGTTATACTGCCTGTATACCCCATAGACTTCTTTTCATTGCTGCTCCTGTTGCTTTGCCTCTGAGAATTGTCTGCTTTGCATCTATGCCACCATATTGGGAGGCTTTCCTTGCAAAGACTTAATGCTGAACTGTAATAGAAAAAAGGTTTATTTGCCTTCTCTGGGTTTGAGACGCAGTGCAGCAGCTTTCCCGAATTAAAAAACTGCTGTTTAATGAAAGTGTAATAAAAGCGGGCAAGCGGCTCCCACTTCATCACTGCAGTTCCCTGGCCTACTTGGCCCGTCACCCCTTACGGGGGATGTATCGGTTTTCTTTTTGAGGGCAGCACCACTGCCTATGTAACTGACCGGCCGCCTTGTCACAATGGGCAGAGGTTTTATAGGAGAGGCATGCAGACTACTATTGTTGTGTTTTGTTTTTTTGGGGGGATACTAGTTGCTTGGCAATGTCTGCTTTATATGTGGGCAGCCATTGTTGAACTCTTAAGCTGGCCATACACTGTAATATTTTCTTTGTTCAACCTGCGGGCTGAAAGAAGAAAATAGAACAGATTCCTCCATCAACGCTTATCAGCTGATCGAGGGATGCCGGCCAAAAGGATGCTAACAGCGCTCCATCAACTGGCTGAAATTTGCATATTGTGTGGCAAGCTTTTGCTGGTTGCCTGGCTAGTGGGCTTATCCAATGGCTTCCATACTTACGTTACTGTCCCAAAACCACTATATGGGTCAGGAGTTCTTACTTACCTCTGATAGCACTGGTTGTGTGTTAGAATAAAGTAGTACTAAAGGCTGAGCATTTTTTTACCTTAATGCATTCTCTGCAGTAAGGTAAAAAACACCCAGTACTTCTTTGAGTCGCTCATAACACCCCCCCACACACACACACTTACCTGTGAACACTTGTCACCGCTGCCGGTCCCTGAAGCTATCCTCCGTTCCCCCAAACTTCTGTTTTCGGGGGGAAAATACAGAGGGCAGAGCTATAGGCTCCTTCTGCCATCAATCAATCTGTTGGGAGGAATGGAGGGGCATGGCCTGCCGCACGCTGTCTGTGTATGCCGCTACCTGCGGGCATGGCCGGAAACGCGCCTGCACAGGTGTCTCCTCAGCAGCCGGTTAGCTGATGGAGGTACCCGCATGGGGAGGAGAGCGATTCGGGGAATAACTAGAGGACGAGGAATTTATCTTTTTAAAACAACAAGAATGGAGGATTTTTATAAGTGTGGGCCTCGCATTCATAAAAAAAAAAAAATCTGAAGATTTTAATTTCTCTTTAAGGTCAGTGACTTGGCAATTGAGACCAGATTTTACTTTTATTTTTAGAATGAGGTCGGTAATGACCTCCACATCCGTTAAAGCGGACCTTTACACTCAATTTAATTCTCCCAATGCATCCCTCTATGTATGATGATTAATAGTAACATAGACATGTCAGGTGTAAAATGCTGTGATTTTATGAACTACGTCCACTGCTTTGAAAGTGCAATTGACTTCAGTTTGCCAACGCATTGCACACTGGGATTGCCTTGTCAGCAGAGCATTGCTGGGAAATCTCCTCGGTGAAAGGCATTTTCCTCCTGATGTGCATGTTCACATGTCCTAGTCACATGTGCCAGATTTTCAGGAAGTAATCTGCCCGTGGTAAACATGGCCACTGTCAGAAGACTGGGGAAGAAAAGAGAAATAAGGAATGCAAAGAATACAAAGCCGGCAATTATCTAGAAGTCTGTAATTGTAGATTGTCATTACTAAACATTTCTAAAGGTGTATTTGTTGTTATTTTAAAGATATGGGTAACGGTAAACTTTAGGAGTAGAGTCACCCATCTGGAACAATCTGCATACTTGTAATATTGAAGCCACTTGATTATCATGGCAGCATTTTCAGAAAAACTGACAGGACGGTTTCAGCTTTGTTTTGACTCTTTAAATCTTCACTAAACTTGTGTGAATATTCACTTCAATTATTCAACCATGTGAACAGCACCTGCACATGGTTGGGCATTCAAAGTGAACAGGAATTTGATTGTCACACGATTGGATGGTTGAAGTGAATATTCACACAATTATTTGGTAAAGATTCTCAACTCCTCTAGTGAATCGGCCTGAATGTCAGTAATACCCGACTCGCATTCACACAGGGAGAACCTGTTTTATTTGAATGGAAGAGTCGTTTTGTTAAAAAAAAAAATTTCATTCAGATGCAGAATTGTTTACTTTAAGGTCATTGCAAATGACAAGAACGTCAACCTTCACACATAGAAAGGCTTCTTTACAGTAAGAGCTGTGAAACATGGAATAGACTTCTGCATGAGCTAGTTCTAACCAACTCTTGAAATTTGTTTTTATAAAAGGCTGCATGTGTTCCTGAAATTGTTTCGAAAATAGATATATCTATCTCAATCATACGTTTACATGCGTTTAGCTGCATATAGAACAAGGCTGGACAGAAGCCAGGTCACCAGTGCTCCTTAAAAATGACAGCGCCTAACTTTTGAGGTTTTCTCTAGTTGTTGCCAATGTAGCTGTCTCCTATAACAATTCTGCTGGCTCCTGACTCTACCCCGGTATAGAGTTTCTAACTGGATCTTGGACTCGCAGAATTCTTATTTCTCCAATTGCAGCTACACTGAGCGGAGGTAAACACTCAGCTTGAATGATATCATTGGCTGCATTTATGAGTTTAGAAATGCCGGTATGAATTAGGTCTTCTACTTCCTTGCATCATTTTGCAGCTAAATAATATAGAAAATGTTTTATGGTTCTCTGGAATTAAATATTGCAAGATTAAATTTCTATTATAATGTCAACGTCCAAACCTTTTTGTTTGGGTGGGGGAGCAGTAGGTGCTGCCCTCAGTAGACCTAATTAGAACCCCCTTGAAGATTTTAGGCTTCATTCACATATGGCGTTTGTGTTTCCCGTGCAGAAGACCTGCACGGATTCTGCTGTTTTTTTTTTACAGCTATTACTATAACTGCGACTGTGCGGGATCTGCCCCTGAAATCGCGATTGGACTATTTTGCGAGACACGTGGTTTTGTAACGTGCAGTCCCCACAATAGTCTGAACAATGCTCATTAAGATTCATTTTTATATGTTTAGAGCACTTCCACTTGTATTTTTCCGGCTGAATACGCACGGATAACCGCTCATGTGTGAATGGAGCCCGAATCCCCTCAGTTTCATGCTGTTTTAGCTGAGTTTGACATGCCCGTCTTAGGGGATCAGGAAGGATTTTTTTTTCTCTATTGCAGCAAATTGGATGCTTTTATTGACTTCTCTGAATTATCTGTGGCTGTAGAATTATATAGATGAAGGTTCTTTTTAAATTTTTTATTTTTTGTATATCAAAATGTATTAAAGATTTTCAAGATGACTAAGTACAAATAAAATACAGATAGTGCCAGGTCATAAGATTGTCAATACTTGGTAGCAATCCACGAATCCGATCTGCAGTGGCAAATTTGTGGAGGTAGCAGTAGTAACATCTGGCCTAAGTAGATAACATTGTGTATTTCTCAGCAAGCATCAACGTGGGACAATTCACGGAATAAGAAAAATAGGAAAGGAGAAAAAAGAGTAGAAAATGGTGCGAGTATCTGCAGCGCCAAGAATCAAAGGGTTGTGTGGCGTGCCCAATTTCTCCCGAAGGCGTTGTAAGGAAAGAAAATTGGACCCAGAACAGACATGATAAAATCTCAGGGTCGATGTGGAAGTCTATTTAAGGAAGCCGGTGTTGAGACCTGGAGAAAAATGAGTGGCCAAGAAGTGGTAATGGAGAATTGTAGTCCCATAGTAGTTGCGAATGGAGTCCATCCCGAACTTTCAAAGTGGCTCTATTTAAGGGAGAGTTTTCCTCAGCTAGGTTACGGTGTTCTGGAGGTATCCAAATTACCACGGACAGAGGTTAAACCGATAAGGAACACTCCAAATCCACCCATTGCTTGGAGTCTTCATGATCACACCAATCAAGTAATTTGTTTAAGGGAATGGCTTGTAAATGCATAGTAAAGTAGGGCCAGGCCACCCCTATGTTTTTCCTTAATAAGGACCTGATGGG